TTTTGCCCAATTTTCATATGTCCAAATTACATACCTGTTTGCAGACTCTAATCTCTTCTTATTCTTTGAACTAACAAGTGGTTTCTTCCCTGGGGTTCGATTAAACAGCCCTATTTCTTGCAGTCGTCTACAAACAGTCTGTCTTGACACATTAACACATGAGGTACTATACATAACCCTTTTAATTTCTGTGCAAGACTTAAAACGGTCCTTTAATGACATACGCTGCATTATTCGATCTTCTCTGGCCGAAGTTTTGCAGGGTCTGCCGGTTTTAAAAGCACTAACTATTTTGCCAGTATCATTGTAGGATTTAACAACCCTGCCTACAACACTCTTGGTCAAAATTTCAGCTTTTCACAGTTGTTATTTCTAACAAATATTAGGTTTTAAAATTTTGTCCCTTAGTTTTGGACGCTACTGTATATATATATATATATATATATATAGATAGATAGATAGATAGATAGATAGATAGAAGGGAGAAACGAGGAGAGAGATTTTAGGGATATGTGCATTTATTTCATGGGATTCAGAGGATTAACCATTAACCATTATTTCATGGGATTCAGAGGATTATCCATTAACCATTATTTCATGGGATTCAGAGGGCTAACAACTCGATAAGGAGGTGACGCTACAGCGGAGTATATTTTTAGGGTAGGTGGTTAGAAAGAAATTTAGAAGATATGCGTGTTGGTCTATCAGGAACACAATTAGGCTCGTCCACGATTCGGCGCATATGCGATGGAGACATCATAACAGTTTTTTACCTTTTTACATCGGCTTAGTCTGAGTAAACTGAGATCATATCTAGATCAAAACCACAATCAATAACCTCCAGTTTGAAGTCTCGCCTTAGTCATGGACATCTGTCCGTTGATTCCATCGGATGAACCCACCGCTCTGGCTGTCGACTTACGTCTCCCCCCACCCAGTGATACCGTGTTATCACTACACTGGCTGAATCAATTGCTATAGAGTCCAGTCTACACCATGGTACAAGATGGATGTTGACGCTGCAAGAAAGTTCTTCAACCCTTTGACACGTCTTATTTTTAATTCAGAAAAACTTGGTGGGGGAACCGGTTTAGTTGTCGATGTCCCGTCCATGTGACAGATACCACTCGGTTGCATGATACCAGTAGCTTTTGTAGCGTGAACTGGTACTATGACAAGAATCCTGAGAGAAAGAACCAATTACATATGTAACTGCTGGAGGCAACTGCTGGATGTCCCTGATTTATATTCGGTTATTTTCAGGCATATCTTCCGATAAGACCCAGGATTTATGCCTCGTTTTGATTTTCCTATTAAATACGTACATTGCCTCTGTTGTATCTGGTAAATATTAATAGTTCTTAGCGTTTTTTTTTTTTTAAGCATTTCACACCAAACAAGGCGGGAAGCCACTAGGACGCGAGGGGTTACAGAAAATTTAGAGCAAGATCAGATAGGAGTGATAGAGGAAAGGATGAGGGTAGTGGATAGATCAAGGCAACTGGAGATGTCGATTGACATTACATTTGAATAGCTGGAGATTATAGCTCACAGGGAAACAGGAGAAGGGAAGGGAGTTCCACAGGCGAGAGGTGCGAGACATGAAGCTATTAGAGTAGAAGAGACGGCTACATTTAGGAGTTTCGACAGTGAAGGAGTGAGAGCGGGATGCCAGCCTCGTAGGGCGCTTGAACTCATGACGTCTGGGAACCAGCGAATGCAGCTCCTCGGAGCAATTTCCATGAAAGTATTTGTAGAACAGACAGAGGGAGGCGACGGCGCGTCTGTGAGAAAGTGACTGTAGACGAGACGCCAAGGCAGGGCCAACCACATTGCATATCCGCCTCTGGAGCCTATCAAGAACCCCGAGGCAAACAGAAGGAGCACCAAACCATATATGGCAGCAATACTCTATGCAAGGGCGAATTGTGGATTTGTAGATCTGGAGGATCGACTCCGAGGAGAAAAACTTCCAAGCGCGGCTCAGGGAGCCAACTTTCCTTGCAGTGGACGAGGCAATTGACTCGATGTATTTATTCCATCTCAGGTCAGCAGTCAACGTGAGACCGAGAAGCCGCAGAGAGTTGCTCGAGAAGTTGAGCGTCAGACATTCTAATGGAGGGAAGGGAAGGCTCTCTGTGGTGATTAATAGAGAGCAGTTTTGTCTTAGAAGCGTTGAAGTTGACCAGCCACTTCATGCCCCAGTTCACAATCGATTGGAGGTCCTTTTCGAGACGCACGGCAAGGTGAGTTTTGTCAGCGAGACTAGATTTGTTTTTGAGGCAGGAATAAATTGTGGTGTCATCCGCGTAAATGCCAACTTTGGAAGTTATGGCGTCAGGAAGGTCATTTATGTAGATAAGGAATAGAGTGGGGCCTAGGATGGAGCCTTGAGGAACACCTGCGTTCGTGGGATAGGAACTGGAGGAGAATCCGTTGAGAACGACCTTCAATTCACGGTTTGACAGGAATGATTGTATTAGGTCAAACAATCGACCCGAAATGCCATAACTGGAGCTTGCGAAGAAGGCCGGCATGCCAAACCCTTTCAAATGCTTTGGAGATGTCTAGTGCCACGGCTCGGGCTTCCCCGTTATTTTGGAGAGCTCGGTAGACTGTTTCAGTGATGGCTGTAAGCACATCGGCTGTAGATCGGGAAAAGCGGAAACCATATTGCTTGTCTGAGAGCAGATTATGGGATGTGAGGTGGTTAACCACCCCGGTATTGATTAGAGCTTCGAAGACTTTGCTGAAGAGGGGAAGGAGACTGATAGGACGGTAGTTGGAAGGGTCAGAGGGGTCGCCGGAGTTAATGAATAATTACAAATCAGTACAGAGGCATGTTCAGATTGTAACTCGTTCTTAATATAATCTTAGTATCAGTGTAACGTTTGTAAATGTCTGGTTTGCAAATCTCGTACAATCTCGTTAGGCTCACAATTTTATAGAAACTAACAGGAAGTGAAGCATTCGAGTGTTATTGTGGTTCTGCCATTTTTAAATGCATTGGGATATTTGATAGTAAACATGACAGAAGAATGACGTCAATAGTAGGCGTGGTTGTAGGACAGGAAACCAATCATGGAACAAAACGAAAATAAAAAATTAAAATGATAATAGGAGAATCGGGGGAAAGTCTTGGATAAAACAACCAAAATAATTTAAAATTAAGGGCAAAAAAAAAATAAATAGGAAAAAGGAAATTATATTACAAAATTAGAAGTGTCCAGGCCAAAAAATATAAAGTGTGTCTTTTGGCTAAGTCCGCTTATTTCGTAATTGATTACTAGTTTGCTTCAAGGTTGATTGGCTCATTTCTTTATTCGTCATGCTGAGAAAAGAGAAAATGAAGTGAATGATCAAATTTATCAGATGCAACTTAACTGGAGTATCTTTACGTCTACTTTTCTTTTTCTAAAGCCGACAAACGATAAAATGAAAAAAGGTATGAGAGAAAATTTACTTAAAAACTTATAGAGAGCATTTAGCCAAGAAAACTGTAAAATGAAAATAGCGAAAAATTCAGATGAAGGAAAAATAAATAGAAAAAATGGAGTTTAAAAATGGCGGGAATACGTGAGACAATTCCCGGTTAAATGGCGCGAAATCAAATCGTTATTTTTCGAGAAAGGAAAACGGTGTTATACGTGGCTAATTCTTTAAACTCTTATGCCAATAAAGAGAAAATTTTGACTGTCTTATCGTATTTCTTCTTCCATTTCTTTTTCTTCTTCATCATTATTACCTCTTTTCTTCTCATCTCTTCTTCTTCTTCTTCTTCTTCTTCTTCTTCCTTCTTAATCATCATTACTCTTTCTCATTTTTCTTCTTTTTCTTCTACTTTTTCCTTCCTTTTTTATTTCCTCTTCTTTTCTTCTTCTTATCATCCCTTTTTTTCTTCCTCTCTTAATCATTACCTTTCTTTCTTCTTCGATTTTTCTTCTTAGTTTCCTTTTTCTTAACATCATCTCGCTTTTTCTACTACTACTACTACTACTCTTCATCATTCTTTTTCTTCTTCCCAAAATGACGTTGCGACAAGTAAAATAAACGTTTTATCGGTCTTTTACTTCCAGAGAAAGTGAACTCTACTCACACTGCATCATCTTTTCCCATCCAATGCTTCTGGTTCACTTTATTTATTATAAGTTTGTTTATTTAGAAGTATTACACATAATAGTCTTAATTTGTTATAATTTCTTAGACAAATTAGTTTTATTAAAAATTAGTTGATCTTTTATGTTAATGAGGGATGGTTGTTAGCAAAAGGGCGAGCCCCAAAGTACCAATTGCAAATCGGAAGTACCAAAATCAAACAAGTGCGGAAATTTAAATATCTGAGAATTGTTTTAACAGCGGACGGAAAGATCGATTCTGAGAACCGAAGGCATGTTGGGATGACCAAAGAAGCATTCCAAAAGCTAAAAAGAGTACGATGAAATTGGGGAAAATTCGCTATGTGATATATTTCCCCCTTAATGGCAGTGAGTGTTGGACGATCTCTTCAAATATGAACAGGAGACTTGAAGCAACAGAAATGTGATTCTACAGAAGGATGCTGAGGATAACGTGAACTGAACATGTGAGTAACGACGGAATTTTGGAGAAAATGGAAACGAAAATGGAACTAATATTTAACAAGACAGTTGAGGTTTTTGGAACATATAACAAGGAAAGAGGGTTTGGAAAATCTGATACTCACGGGATAGATAGATGGCAAGATGGACAGAGGAAAACAACACATAACATAATTAGTGACCGTGAGTAAATGGATGGCGGAACAGGGCTTAGGAGAAATAACAGAAATACAAAGTTTATTAAGAGCTACAAGGGAACTTGTGGAGAGCCATGATCGCCTCCGTCCTAAGAAGAATCATAATGCTCAAGACGTTTTATATTCTACAAGCGAGTCTGATCTGAAACTGACTCCAAGTATTGATGATACTGCAGGTTGATTCGACAGAGTAACGACCGTATTTAAACTTATGGAGTGTAATGACATGAGAAATCGCCTTTATTCATTTCTGATTCGATACCCTGTAAAAAAAACAATTAAATTAAATCAATTAAAAAATTTCAACAACACTCGAAAGAGGATATAAAATTTAAATGTGTCGGATTAATAAATGAAAAACCAATTCCTGAAACTATATATAAGAGTAACACCAAGTGATATACGTATGCCAAGGTAAGGAGAATTTTGTCAGTAAAAGGGCTTAACAGGCCTCAGAGTAATAATGATTTTAATTACGCCCACTATACTTATCAAAGGCCGACTCAGAGTTGTCCGGTGATTCGCACTTCAGGGTCCAGACAAGAATAATGTAATTATTGCTATAATAAACGTTTATTTAATATGTTAACTAAGGAATCATCGCTAAATTTTAAGTCAGCTTTTATATGCATAGTGGACTTTTAATAACTTTTTAATCATTATATATATATATATATATATATATATATATATAAAGACAAGAATAAATTATTCTTAGCCGATCGGTTTCGTCCTCTGAGGGATTTTATCAAGCCAAATGTAAGGATATATTTTGTTACGCGTGTTTATATACAAGAGCAAGGATATCATTGGTTTATCAGGGATTTTAAATTTGGAAACGTGCATGAATATTCATCAGGTGCTTGAAAGGTCAATCAAAACATGTGGACGACACAAAGTGCCATAATTCAATGTCTGGTAAGACAAAAGTAAGCGAGTAATATTCAAGAATGGTTTTTTTTTCCTCTTGTCTTTTTATTGATTTTGTTCCTACACAGATACACTATCTGAAAATAAATTACACACATTAGAAATAAGCAATATTCAAATGCCACGGCACTCTCAAAATTTTACTGGAATGTTAAAACAAATGACTATACACCGGTAGTAAATTGGAATTTTGTCGCTAACTCTATACCCTTTCCCGCACGCGGGAATCTATGCAACCTGTGTTTGCTGGAAAAAAAGATTCATTCACAAAAATATCAATGACCAAAACCTACTTAACAAATAGAATGAACTTATGATAGCCTGTAATCACAGGAAAAAAATTCTCCTAAAGTATTTTAATTCTGGGTGGATCATTTATCCGAATATTACATGCCCATTACATATTTCAGGTTACATATTGATTACTTCATTCCTTGCATATTCATTTAATTTAACCGTTTAAGCGTCTATTAATACGTAACGACCCACACAGCGTCCGTCTTTTCTTATTTTAATTTTAAGCTTGCCTCTTTTTTTCCAATATCCCTACCTATTCCTTCACAAAAATATCTCTATTTCTCCCAAATGTCTATTAGTTTACTTACTATATAACACTCTACATTTTGAATTTACATCCCAATAATATATTGAATTTGTATTGACTTTGAGCTTTGAATCTGCGTTTAATTTAACGTTTCACCTGTGAGACCCAGTATTTAAAAAAGACAACCGTAATAAGTATTTCATCCACCAGTTCGTGCCTGACGACTTGGGAAAAACATGAAACTTTAAGTTGCACTACAAACGTAGGTATATATATATATATATATATATATATATATATATATAAATCCCCAGATGAATATATATATTGGTATCAAATGACAATTGAAAAAAAATACATTTTGCCGACGCGTTTCGTCTTCCGATTTTTTTTCAGGGCAAAATGAAATCGAAATGTTTTTTGTTATAGTTACATTAAAATTCAAAATTAAAAAAAAGACGCTTGTGTCTAATTTTTTTCTGGTTAATGTAAACTTTATAAGGGATTATTATTATTATTATTTTATTTTTTTTCCATGTCGACAATATAGATAAATTCAGATGAATTCTTTTTAATCAAATGACAATTGACATTTTGCCGACGCGTTTACATTAACCAGAAAAAAGGCTTAGACACAAGCGTCTTTTTTTGAATTTTAATGTAACTATAACAACAAAAACATTTCGATTTCATTTTTGCCTTGAAAAAGTCGGAAGACGAAACGCGTCGGCAAAATGCAAGATTTTTTCCAATTGTCATTTTTGATACATATATATATATATATATATATATATATATATATATATATATATATATATATATTAGTTAACTGGTGTGTACATTCTCAAGGCTTGGGTTACGTGAATACGAACTGATACTTGGACGAGATTTAGAAATGTAAAATATGTTTAAATGTCTATTAGTTTACTTACTATATAAAGATTTACGCACATACATACGTACACATACGCACACACACGCGCGCGCGCACGGCACGTTTATTTTGCGAAAATAAAGATAATTATCATTTTGGAATAAATTGCCAATAAAAAATCGTGTGTTTATTGGTTTTCAACGACTTTAAATTTGTACGATCTTCCTTTCCAGGCGCCCCTGGTAATCTTGATAAAGGAACCTGCTGTTTTAATCCACGATTTGAAGGAATATTTCACAGAGAGACAACAGTTTTTAACAACAAACTTGAAACAACTTCAGTAAGTAAAAACTATTCTAGTTGGTCAAACGAAATATGAAACAATTTCAACCGCCATTTCCGTTCATCAAATGTCCTCTTCCTACATGCATTTTTTCAAGGGTTATTTTCAAACTTTGTTTTCAAATTGTCCGACAGATAAAATTTTATGGCATTCATTAATCTAACGAGGAAAGAAAAAATGTATGAATGGATAAGATTTGTTTTGTTTTGTTTCTTACGATGATGTTAATCTCGTACAATGTCCAAGAATTACTCAAGATAGAGGGTTAAATAATGAAGAGAATGTTTTCCGGACGGAAAATGAAAACAAAGGATCATCATTATTCATGAAAAAATTCATGAGTGAAAAATAAAGGAATATTCATCAGTTTATTTGACAAACATTTCACAAGTATTATATTCTTCTTCCTTTATGAGCCGTGTCCCTTCAGGGCGTAAGGGATCATGGCCCTCCACATCTTTCTGTCTCTTGTCGCTCTTCATAACTTTTGTCTTTTTGTTATTTCTCCCAAACTTTGTTCCGCCATCCATTTCCTCAAGCCCATCAAGTAGGTTACGCACTGCTTTTCTCTGTCCCTCTTTCTCTCAATCTTCCTCGTGAGTATCAGATTTTCCAAGCCTACCTTCCTCATTAGGTGCCCCAGAAATTTCAACTGCCTCTTCTTGATATTAAGTATGAGTTTCCTTTTTGTTTCGGTTCTCTCCAAACCCTCATCGTTACTCACATGTTCGGCCCATGATATCTTCAGCATCCTCCTGTAGAACCACATTTCTGTTACTTCAAGTGTCCTCTTCATCTTCGAGGAGATTGTCCAGAATTTGCAGGAGGACAGATATCACGTAACAGTTCAATAATCTTTTCTTTCTTTCATTTTTGTACCTGTTTGATTTTAACATCCCCGACCTGTAATTTGCATTTTGGGCTCATCTTTTTCTGATAACCATGTATTCTGTCTTCTTGTAGTTTATACTTAGTCCTTTCTTCTCGCTTTTCTTCGCTACCTTCTGTAGGATGTCTTGTAGTTTCCTTTCCGTGTCTGCAATGTTATCGAAAATATAAAAAAGAAACGTGGTAAAATTAAATTGCAGTTGCACTAATAATATATTCGTCGTCGGCTTTATCTCGTATCCAAGAATTTAATTTATTCTATGCTGATCATTATCTTTATGATGACAGTGTTGATGACTACATTCACCGCCAACGTACAAGTTCAGGGCTAGAAGCTTCCAATTTCACCAAAAGCTGCTTCCATCATCCATTCCCTATGCAGTTTGGTTTTGCAGGTGTTAGTTGAAGGTGAAAGAAAATCAGAGTAGAAGAAAGTGCCAATGGCGTGAATTTGTTTAAGGTGGGCCTCAACTTGCCAGGAAGTGACCCTCAGACTTGATTTCATGACCTTCCTTTACGGCACATATGGAATGAGACATGCGGAATCCAGTTATGAAACTACAACGAACTGCCGATGACTCTGTTATAATTTCGACTGACGTTGGGATCTTTGGGGTTGGTCTGGGTCATGATCTTCGACCTTGCCGCCAAAGGTGGCCCTATCAGGTGTTTAGAACCCCTGATTTGATCACGCAAGCCCCCCACCACCACAATGAACAACCATTAGAGGTATATTTAGAAATATACACGCATAGAAACATATACATGTTTTATACTGGGTGTTGGAGTAAACAGTTCGTCATCATCTGTTGCTTTGTTTAGTGACAATAATAAAAAAAAATCAATAAATAAGAAAAGAATTAAAAGTATAAAATCATTATCAATCATATGAGAACATTTTCTATTATTCCCGTTGTTAAATATACTAAAGTTATGAAAAAGCATAATAGCAAGATATTAAATATGCCCCAAATTACATGCCTTCTACTTATGTAACAGTAGTCGTTAATATGAATATCCTGTTAGTGGCAAATGCTTGACGGAGAATGTTATTTATGAAGCCAATGTTAAAACTGGCGATGACTCAACTGTTGCATACATACCGATCATGGAAGCAGTGCTTTTACAACAATGAATCATCTTACCTCAGGAGATACTGCACAAACGACACTATGCTGTCGAAATATATAATGGCTCATAAATATATAATAGAATCAACAACACATTTTGCAATGAAAAATTGTAAAATAATAAAAATAGAAATCTCGAAAATGTGGCATATGGGAGCATCAACAATCCCTGTTGTAGTTGAAGCCTTAGGACTGCTTGGAAAATATTGCAGTAGACTATTTGAAAGGATTCCTGGAAGTCCATGCCTCAAGGAGATACAAAAAATTGTTCTGAAAACTACAGCCCACACTTTACGAAGGGCTTTATCTATGTAATATTTTTTTTTGTCAGTGGAAAGTGTCATGATGCCATTTCTAACCTTAGGTCCCTGGGCGGGACCCGGAAAGAAATGTGTAAACGCCAGAAATCAAAGAAAATAAAAACAATAATAATAATAAGCGAAAGTGTGTGAAGGAATTGTGGATAGTATTTGCCGGAGAAGTTTAATATGGTCAGTTTCCCTGGTCAAAACCATCACGTTAATAGATAATCGGAGCTTGTTAGAAAGTGTAGGCATGGGAATAAGAACTTGCTGTATTAACTTGTTCCCGACTGAAAGTGTGGGAATATGTTCAGTTTTGTTCGATCTCTCTCGATAAGAACAGTTTCTTTAATAAGATTTTCGATGTTCTTGGCCGGTAGATGTTTATAAAAAAAAAACATGTCTAATGAAACAATATAAACACTAAATTAACGTTGGTAGTAATAAGAAAAAAATATATATTGTAATAAATAAAACTATATGCTCATTAACTCTAAATTTGATGGAAATTACATTCACTAATAAATTTGTTATTTACAAAAATTGTTTACCTTAAAAAAACTTCCAGAATTATCTTGTTCGACTGTTATATATATATATATATATATATATATATATATATATATATATATATATATATATTAGGAGGGAGGGAGGGGGATTACGTTTTGTATTACAATGTCTTTGGTTTCTTTGACCAGAATTACAAACTTTGATTTTCTTTAAGCTAATTATAGTCTTTGTTTAATATTTTATTTATTAGGAGGTAGGGACGTGAGATGATTATATATATATATATATATATATATATATATATATATATATATATATATGTGTGTGTGTGTGTGTGTGTGTGTGTGTATTCCTTAATAGTACTTTTCCTTTTCTCGTGTTCCTTCTCACTAGTACTGTCTCGCGTCTTAGTGACTTTATTGCCTTTCTTGGAGTGAAATATATATAGGTATGTGTGTGCGTGTATATGTGTGTTTGTGTTTAGTTATTTATAAATACGTATGAATATATACAGTGTATATATAATTATACATGTGTGTGTGCATGTGTGTGTATGCGTGTGTGTGTGTGTGTGTGTGTGTGTGTGTGTGTGTGTGTGTGTGTGTGTGTGTGTGTGTGTGCGCGCGCGTGGAGATTTATGGTCGATATTTGCTTCTTTTTTTGCTGATTGTTTTAGATACGCATTCATTTTTTAAAGTTTATTCCAATTTTTATGTTTTCTCAACATATTCTTTCCATCTTTCTTTTATTCCTTTAAACCTTTCATTCTTTTATTCCTTTAAACCTTTCATTCTTTTATTCCTTTCAACCTTTCATTCTTTTATTCATTCCATCATTTATTTTTTATTACTTTCTCTCGACATAGTTTCTTATTTTTACAATCTTTCCGATTCTAAAAGCCAATTCGTTCGTTCATTATTCTATTAACTTATTCATTCTTGCATTTGCATTATTTGTACATTCACTTATTTTACCTACATTTTAATTACTTTGAACTCCGTTTATTCTTATCTTTTGTTCACGAATTAGTTTATTCATTCGTTTATTCTTAAATTAGTCTTCCATTCCGTGATTTATTGTATTTCTTTGTCTTTATAATTATTTATTTAGAATAAGTGACTTATTTAAATTTGTATTCATTAATATTTCCTTTTATAATTGAATGCCTTTACATCTCATTCCTAATATACATTTTATTATTCGTTGATATCTGTATTTATTCATACATTCCTTTATTCTTCTTTTCTTCTATTATAGACAGAAACAAGGCTGCATTTCGACCATATTGGAAAGCGTGTTTGTAATGAATTCTCTACTCCGAGCACTGGTCCGATCCGAGTTGTCAATGATTACCAGACGGTAAGTACATAGATCATATATTCTATACGGGGAAATTTAGAGATAACATATCGATTTGTGACCTTTAGACAAATTCGCCAGGCGTGTATATAAATGTGGAAATGTCCGTTTGACGTTGAGTATGTGCTGTTTTCCTTACATAGAGAAAAACTGCGGTGAAACAGTGGTTAGTTTAAGCATCTTCCAGCGGTGAGCGTTCGAATTCTAGACAGGTTAGGCTTGCTAATTGGTGACCTTCAAATCGCTTATAACATATTGTCACATATTCGAGTCATCAATCTTTTGGTCAAGTAAATCACAATCAAATTTGTTATCTATTCTCATGCTTCCTTCTTCTACGTCTTTTTTCTCTCTGGTATATAAGCCATCATAATACACACGCAAACATACTCATAGCTATCTATCTCAGTTTTTTCATATCTATGTCTTTCTATCTATTTATCACATCTATCTATCTATCTATCTATCTATCTATCTATCTATCTATCTATCGTCACATTTATCAGTTTTCATCTATCTATCTATCTATCTATTTCTATCATCTATCTATCAGTTTTTGTTCAGATTGTTCATATCTATCTATCTATTTCTATCTATCTCTCCGTCACAGTTTTTCATTATCTATCTATCTATCTATCTATCTATCTATCTATCTATCTATCTATCTATCTATCTATCTATCTATCTATCTATTTCAGTTTTCATATCTATCTATCTATTTCTATCTATCTCTCCGTCATCTATCTATCTATTTCAGTTTGTTCTATCTATATCTATCTATCTATCAGTTTTTCACATCTATCTCCGTCACATTGTTTTTTCATTTCTATCTATTTATCACATCTATCTATCTATCTATCTATCTATCTATCTATCTATCTATCTATCTATCTATCAGTTTTTCACATCTATCTATCTATTTCAGATTGTTCATATCTATCTATCTATTTCTATCTATCTCTCCGTCACAGTTTTTCATATCTATCTATCTATCTATCTATCTATCTATCTATCTATCTATCTATCTATCTATCTTAATTAATATCTATCTAGCTATCTATTTCAATTTGTTCATGTCTATCTATTTCAGTTGGTTCATATCTATGCCTTTCTATCTAGATATTTATCCTTCTATCTAAGTTTATTCACATCTATCTATCTATCTATCTATTTCTATCTCTCTATCACATTTTTTTCATATCTATCTATCTATCTAGCTATTTCAAACTGTTTATATCTATCTATATATATCTATCTCTCTATCCCTCTATCACAGTTTTTTTCACATTATCTAGCTAGCTAGCTATTTCAATTTGTTTATATCTATCTATCTATCTATTTCTATGTATCTCTCTATCACAGTTTTTTTTTTTCACATCTATCTATCTCTCTATGGGAAAAAGATATGAATTTTTATATACTAGAACAATGTTAGGAAAACCAATGACAAAATGGAATTAACTTTTAATAAATTTCTATTCTCACCATAACAACATAATAAAATACGGAATAATTACCGGATTCTATTTAAGAACGCTCAGAATTTCTACCCTTTCAATAATTATATAAAGAGGAGAAATACATTGAAAATACCTTTAAGTTCCTCCAGTACGCTAACAAATTTCAACTATTTCAATATAAAAGAGTGAGCCATTCTGATAAACACAACGAAACAAAATATACTATGCTACCCACCAATTCTATCACAACTGCATTTGAAAAGAATTTACCTAAGCTTAAGGTAAAAATTTGTTACAACTTTTTCTGAAGCAATTAATACAAAACACCTTGGTTAAAAAAAAAAACAATGAATGTTATTAATTAAGCATATTTTTAATTTATTTTTCAATATTTCGAACCGTTTTACATATCGAAATATATTTTTTCCAATGTCTTGGTACTTTTGCTTTTTATGCTATTTATGTATAGTAGATTAGTAGATATCAGAAATAATTTAGAAACAACTTATAATTTGAAGATAATATATATATTGAAACATGAGACCTCTTATGTCGCGAGTTGGAATCATATTTTTAAATAAATAATTATATTTATGCTCTACTTTTGTATCGAGCTCTATTTTTAAAAATAATAACTAAAATACTAAGGAATTTTGGATTATTTACCTAACCAGTTCCTTCCTATTTTCTATATATTTTCACACACATATATATATATATGTGTGTGTGTGTGTGTGTGTGTGTGTGTGTGTGTGTGTGTGTGTGTAGGGGTTTGATTATCAAAAATATAAAAATCTCAAGCTACTTATCAAAGACCGACTTTTTTTTCGCAATGTTTCGCTCAACAGGAAAAGGTAAAGTTAATATTTTGAGCTTATTAATTGGTGTGATTATTATTATATCTACATTCATATATATGTAGGCATATATACAAATATAAGAAATGTATCAGGTTGTTGCATAAATTCGTTCGTTTTTTTATAATTTATTTTGATACTAATTATCTATTAATAGTTCTGATGAATCATTCAACAATGTATTCGTTTTCATTGTTTACGACCCCCTGTCAATTATCCACTAACTGTCCAATTCCTCGATGATAGTTTTGACTCGAAACAATCATCAAGCCACGTTTTAAGCACTACATCGTTGTTGAACGAAACACCCCTTAAATTGCTAGAAAGCGATCAAAAATGTGGTAGTGGTTAAATCATGAGAATATGGTAGGTGTGGCAGAACATCACAACCTAGCTCTTTAATTGCATGTTTGCTCATGTTAGTGACGTGAGGGGGAGCATTGTCATGTTGAATAATCACACTGTATCGTGTGTCAGGTCTTTACAGCCGAATTATCTCTTTGAGTTTGTTCAATTGTTCAACATACAGCTTAACATTGAACGTTTGGTTGTTTTGAAGCATTTCATCTCTGTACATAACAGGAGCAGCTTTGGTACCTTTGTGATCTTGATTAAAAGCAAAGAGAAGATGTTGAACATGCTGTTTCTTGTCTAATGACATTCCACCTCAAAGGAGTGTCTAATCTGAAATAACATTTCAGAAGCATTAAGCAACAGTTTCAAAGAAGTTACTAAGATGCAAAAAAAAAAGCTACGTAAGATTATTTTCGAGATCATTCGCAAAACATCAAAGAAAACAAACGAATATATGTAACAATCTAATATGTATATAATGTTTTTATATTTGTCAAACAATCAGCACACTCTTTAACAGATTAGCATGCCAATTATCAAAATTCACTCTGACTTTAATCAAAACATCACACAAGACTACAATGTTTCTTAATGTTAAACATGTTCTTGTATATAATACTAAAAAAATACAAGTTGTAAAAAAAAAATCAAAATATTTGAAGCTATTCTTCAACAACCCACATTAACCATAATATCTTGTTATATCATAGGGCGGGCATTTTAAAATATGTTTAAGATTTAAAATGTGTAATGATATCTTGATCCTTATCCAATGTCAAGTTATGTAACCACTGACTTCTTTCTTATTTACGTACAACACTTTCATATACTTACAAACGATTATCCACATGCACTTGTTTGCATCCGATACACATTAAATTTAGAATTATAACGTTTCTAAATATTAGGTTGGTGCAAAAATAATGACGTAATAATGTTGTTTTTTGACGTTAAAAAAATACGTCAAAAACGACATTATTACGTCATTATTTTTGCACCAACCTAATATATACCAGGATGGAATATTATGATGCGTCATAAACTATTTCTGTTTTATTTTTAAATAAGTTACAAATACGTTTTATTCAATTATATATTCACCATTATTTGCAACGATTTCTTATCACTCATCTGGCAGATAGCTTTCAAATAAAATTTCGCGTGGTTTGATGGGAAAAGGTTTTTGATGAACCCTTCAATGTGGTTTTCATAACGTTTTTTTTTTCTCATCAAAACGTTTTCAACAATCGAAAAAAGAACAGACCAACCGAGATCCAATATATTTACCAGTGTTATTCCAATCATGGAGTAAATCAACTTTTTTTCTTATTGATGGGTACAGGACGCTTTTCGACCAGACATTTATGGGCATGTTGCAGTTGCTGGATATATAAATGTGAATTTGTTTCATTGCGTTTTAAGAACTTTAAATGAATACACCAATGATCCCACCACACGCACAAAATTACCTCCATTCAGTGGAGCTCATCTCTTAAGGATCGTTTATTGAGATCTATCCTTGCCAATCTCTTGTGTTGAATATTGTTGTATATAGACCATTTTTCATCATCAGGAACGGTTAATTAAGATCGTCATTAAAATTAGTTTCCCAGAACGATAGATAGTTATGACACCACTTTAATAAATCAATACATTTCTCTAATTAACATTCTTGATGACTAACGATAGATGTAAGTAATCGAAAAGAACATTATGAAACTTTAGAAAGTTTCTTTATAAATTGGATCTGAACGTTGTTCTACTCATAAGCGGAGTTGAAAAATGTAATTAACAAAGCTACATAGACAAGTCTTGTCTGTCGTATTCAATAAAATATGTTTGAATGAACTCTTGATGCCTAAGTGTACGTCATGCGTGTGTGGCCGTGGACGTGTGTGTTCTTCGATGTCGCGTTCAATGTAGGAATTTGAATTTCTATAGTATTATCATATAACGATTTTCTTATATCGCCTCATCCGCACTTCCAAATCATAGGTTACTCATAGACGGAAGGACGTTTATAATATTTATTTATTTTTGAAGAATTTTTCCGATCAGCCCAGATTATTTAAAACCACCCCGTTTATTTAAATTCACCCCATTTATTAATTTCGCGTTTTTTTTACCCATTAAATGATTTTCTGAGTCTCCGCTTTTATTAAAACCCACACCCCGTTTATTACATATTGGCAAAAATTCCGAACGTCTCGCCACCCCGACTGTTAAGGCACTCATTGTATTAGACACATAAGAAAATTCTCATTTTAATTATATCACACCATGCAAGGTAATAAAGCCACTAAGACATATGGGATTTACTGAGTGTTAAAGTATAAGAAAAACGAGAAACATTATTAAGGAGAGAGAACAATAAAAGAATAATCAAGAATACAGTATGTAACGATTGACATTACATTTTAATTACAAGCAATAAGTGCGATAGAAGAAACTGTTAGCATAGAACTTACGGTTACATCGAGCCATTTCAACTGTGAATTGATGAGACTTTGCCGCCAATCTAGTACTGCGATTAAATTCATAATGGCTAGGTACCATAGCGAAGAGTTCATGCGAACAATTGCTATGAAAGTATTTATAGAAAAGGCACAGGAAAGTTACGTTACGGCGATGGGCAAGTGACTGAAGCTGAGTTGCGAGATGAGGACCAACAATATTTCTGATTCTTCTTTAGATCTTATGAAGGAACTCCAGGAAAATAGCAGAGGCACCGGACCATATATGGCAGCAATATTCAAAGCATAGACAAATGATATACTTACAGATATGCAAGATAGATTCCAGAAAGAAATATTGTCTCACCCGACACAGTGAGCCGACTTTTATAGCAGTTGATCTAGCGATGGATTCAATGTAGTCTTTCCACTTCGTCAGCTGAGAACGTTAGCTCAAGAAGGTGCAATGAGTCACTTTCTTGGAGGATAGCATCAGCCATGCTGATAAAAGGCAGAGAGGGGTCTCTAAGATGATTAATGGAGAGAAGTTTAGTTTAAAAATGACAAGCCATCTTCTTCCTCAGTCAACGACTGTCTTGAGGTCGTTTTGTACATCAGCTACCATTTTTGCCTTGTCTGACTGATCAGCATTACTATCGAGGCAGGATTAAATGGTAATGTCATCAGCGTAAATGCCAATGTGATACCATCGGAAAGGTCGTTAATGAAGATTAAAAACAGCGTAGGACTAAGGATGGAACCATTGGGGACACCCGCGTTAGTACGAAAGGGTGTAGACGAGTGGCCGTTCAGGGTAAGATTCATTTCGCAATTTGATAGGAACGATTGGATCAGCTCAAAAACGTGCCCGGCGATACCATGGCTTTTCAGCTTGTGGAGAAGACTTGAATGCCAAACCCTGTCAAAGGCTTTCGAGATGTCCAATGCTTCATCCCGGGCTTCACCGTTTTTATCTAGAACAGACTTTCCGCAATTATCTTTAGTACATCATCAGTTGATGCAGAGAAACGATAGTTGGATGGATCAGATAGTTCACCAGAGTTCTTAAAAACAACAGACGATGAACTTCCAG